TGGACAAGGCCCTGTTCTCTCCCAATCACTTGGACAGCCTTATTCTCAATGCCAGTCATTTGCACAAGCCCCTTCTCAATGCCAGTTCCTTGGACAAGGCCCTGTTCTCTCCCAATCACTTGGACAGCCTTATTCTCAATGCCAGTCATTTGCACAAGCCCCTTCTCAATGCCAGTTCCTTGGACAAGGCCCTGTTCTCTCCCAATCACTTGGACAGCCTTATTCTCAATGCCAGTCATTTGCACAAGCCCCTTCTCAATGCCAGTTCCTTGGACAAGGCCCTGTTCTCTCCCAATCACTTGGACAGCCTTATTCTCAATGCCAGTCATTTGCACAAGCCCCTTCTCAATGCCAGTTCCTTGGACAAGGCCCTGTTCTCTCCCAATCACTTGGACAGCCTTATTCTCAATGCCAGTCATTTGCACAAGCCCCTTCTCAATGCCAGTTCCTTGGACAAGGCCCTGTTCTCTCCCAATCACTTGGACAGCCTTATTCTCAATGCCAGTCATTTGCACAAGCCCCTTCTCAATGCCAGTTACTTAGACCATGCCCTACTCAATCAAAGGCATTTGGACAGCCTTATTCTCAATGCCAGTCATTTGCGCAAGACCCTTCTCAATGCCAGTTACTTGGACAAGGCCCTGTTCTCTGCCAGTCACTTGGACAGCCTTAATCTCAATGCCAGTCATTTGCACAAGCCCCTTCTCATTGCCAGTCACTTGCACAAGGCCCTGCTCTCTGCCAATCACTTGGACAGCCTTATTCTCAATGCCCGTCATTTGCACAAGCCCCTTCTCATTGCCAGTCACTTGCACAAGGCCCTGCTCTCTGCCAATCACTTGGACAGCCTTATTCTCAATGCCCGTCATTTGCACAAGCCCCTTCTCATTGCCAGTCACTTGCACAAGGCCCTGCTCTCTGCCAATCACTTGGACAGCCTTATTCTCAATGCCCGTCATTTGCACAAGCCCCTTCTCATTGCCAGTCACTTGCACAAGGCCCTGCTCTCTGCCAATCACTTGGACAGCCTTATTCTCAATGCCCGTCATTTGCACAAGCCCCTTCTCATTGCCAGTCACTTGCACAAGGCCCTGCTCTCTGCCAATCACTTGGACAGCCTTATTCTCAATGCCCGTCATTTGCACAAGCCCCTTCTCATTGCCAGTCACTTGCACAAGGCCCTGCTCTCTGCCAATCACTTGGACAGCCTTATTCTCAATGCCCGTCATTTGCACAAGCCCCTTCTCATTGCCAGTCACTTGCACAAGGCCCTGCTCTCTGCCAATCACTTGGACAGCCTTATTCTCAATGCCCGTCATTTGCACAAGCCCCTTCTCATTGCCAGTCACTTGCACAAGGCCCTGCTCTCTGCCAATCACTTGGACAGCCTTATTCTCAATGCCCGTCATTTGCACAAGCCCCTTCTCATTGCCAGTCACTTGCACAAGGCCCTGCTCTCTGCCAATCACTTGGACAGCCTTATTCTCAATGCCCGTCATTTGCACAAGCCCCTTCTCATTGCCAGTCACTTGCACAAGGCCCTGCTCTCTGCCAATCACTTGGACAGCCTTATTCTCAATGCCCGTCATTTGCACAAGCCCCTTCTCATTGCCAGTCACTTGCACAAGGCCCTGCTCTCTGCCAATCACTTGGACAGCCTTATTCTCAATGCCCGTCATTTGCACAAGCCCCTTCTCATTGCCAGTCACTTGCACAAGGCCCTGCTCTCTGCCAATCACTTGGACAGCCTTATTCTCAATGCCCGTCATTTGCACAAGCCCCTTCTCATTGCCAGTCACTTGCACAAGGCCCTGCTCTCTGCCAATCACTTGGACAGCCTTATTCTCAATGCCCGTCATTTGCACAAGCCCCTTCTCATTGCCAGTCACTTGCACAAGGCCCTGCTCTCTGCCAATCACTTGGACAGCCTTATTCTCAATGCCCGTCATTTGCACAAGCCCCTTCTCATTGCCAGTCACTTGCACAAGGCCCTGCTCTCTGCCAATCACTTGGACAGCCTTATTCTCAATGCCCGTCATTTGCACAAGCCCCTTCTCATTGCCAGTCACTTGCACAAGGCCCTGCTCTCTGCCAATCACTTGGACAGCCTTATTCTCAATGCCCGTCATTTGCACAAGCCCCTTCTCATTGCCAGTCACTTGCACAAGGCCCTGCTCTCTGCCAATCACTTGGACAGCCTTATTCTCAATGCCCGTCATTTGCACAAGCCCCTTCTCATTGCCAGTCACTTGCACAAGGCCCTGCTCTCTGCCAATCACTTGGACAGCCTTATTCTCAATGCCCGTCATTTGCACAAGCCCCTTCTCATTGCCAGTCACTTGCACAAGGCCCTGCTCTCTGCCAATCACTTGGACAGCCTTATTCTCAATGCCCGTCATTTGCACAAGCCCCTTCTCATTGCCAGTCACTTGCACAAGGCCCTGCTCTCTGCCAATCACTTGGACAGCCTTATTCTCAATGCCCGTCATTTGCACAAGCCCCTTCTCATTGCCAGTCACTTGCACAAGGCCCTGCTCTCTGCCAATCACTTGGACAGCCTTATTCTCAATGCCCGTCATTTGCACAAGCCCCTTCTCAATGCCAGTTACTTGGACAAGGCCCTATTCACTGCCGGTAACTTGGACAGAGTTCTTCTCTATGCCAGTCATTTGCACAAGCCCCTTCTCATTGCCAGTCACTTGGACAAGGCCCTGCTCTCTGCCAATCACTTGGACAGCCTTATTCTCAATGCCAGTCATTTGGACAGTCTTATGCTCAATTCCAGTCACTTGGAAAAGGTTCTGCTCTCTGCCAGTTACTTGGACAGAGTTCTTCTCAATGCCAGTCATTTGGACAATGCCCTGTCCTCTGCCAGTCACTTGGACTGCCTTATTCTTAATGCCCGTCATTTGCACAAGCCCCTTATCAATGCCAGTTACTTGGACAAGGCCCTTCTCACTTACAGGCATTTGGACAGCCTTATTCTCAATGCCCGTCATTTGCACAAGCCCCTTCTCAATGCCAGTTACTTAGACAAGGCCCTTCTCACTCACAGGCATTTGGACAGCCTTATTCTCAATGCCCGTCATTTGCACAAGCCCCTTCTCAATGCCAGTTACTTAGACAAGGCCCTTCTCACTCACAGGCATTTGGACAGCCTTATTCTCAATGCCCGTCATTTGCACAAGCCCCTTCTCAATGCCAGTTACTTAGACAAGGCCCTTCTCACTCACAGGCATTTGGACAGCCTTATTCTCAATGCCCGTCATTTGCACAAGCCCCTTCTCAATGCCAGTTACTTAGACAAGGCCCTTCTCACTCACAGGCATTTGGACAGCCTTATTCTCAATGCCCGTCATTTGCACAAGCCCCTTCTCAATGCCAGTTACTTAGACAAGGCCCTTCTCACTCACAGGCATTTGGACAGCCTTATTCTCAATGCCCGTCATTTGCACAAGCCCCTTCTCAATGCCAGTTACTTAGACAAGGCCCTTCTCACTCACAGGCATTTGGACAGCCTTATTCTCAATGCCCGTCATTTGCACAAGCCCCTTCTCAATGCCAGTTACTTAGACAAGGCCCTTCTCACTCACAGGCATTTGGACAGCCTTATTCTCAATGCCCGTCATTTGCACAAGCCCCTTCTCAATGCCAGTTACTTAGACAAGGCCCTTCTCACTCACAGGCATTTGGACAGCCTTATTCTCAATGCCCGTCATTTGCACAAGCCCCTTCTCAATGCCAGTTACTTGGACAAGGCCCTGCTCTCTGCCAGTCACTTGGACAGCTAGAGATTCAATGCCAGTCATTTGAACATGCCCCTTCTCAATGCCAGACACTTGTAAAAGGCTCTGCTCTCTGCCATTCACTTGGAGAGCCTTCTTCTCAATGCCAGTCACTTAGACAGACAACCTTCTTCTCAATGCCAGTCATTTGTAAAAGACCCTTCTCATTGCCCATCACTTAGACAAGGCTCTGCTCTGTCCCATCACTTAGACAGCCTTATTCTCAAATTTAGACATTAGGACAAGACCCAGCTCTCTGCCAGTCACTTCGAGAGGCTTATTCTCAATGCCAGTCATTTACACAAGTTCCTTCTCTATGCCAGTCACTTGGACAAGCCCAGTCTCTCTGCTGGTCACTTGGACAATCTTATTCTGAATGCCAGTCCCTTGGACAAGGCTCTGCTCTCTGCCAGTCACACGGACAACATTCTTGTCAATGCCAGTCACTTGGACAATCTTTTTCTCAATGCCAATCATTTTCACAAGCTCCTTCTCAATGCCAATCACTTGGACAAGACCCATCTCTCTGCCAGTCACTTGGACAGCCTTATTCTCAATGCCAGTCATTTGCACAGGCCCCTTCTCAATGCCAGTTACTTGGACAAGGCCCTGCTCTTTGCCATTCACTTTGACAGCCTGATTCTCGATGCCCGTCACATGGACAAGCCCCATCACTCTGCCAGTCCCTAGGACTATATTACTCTCAATGCCAGTCACTTGGACAAGCCTCAGCACTCTGCCAGTCACTTGGACAACCTTCTTCTCAATGCCAGTCACTTAGGTAAGCCCCTGCTCTCTGACAGTGTCTTTCACAAACTTATTCTCAATGCCAGCTGGTGGGTCAAGCCCCTCCTCTCTTCCTGTGACCTGTGTAGCTGTGTTTTAGGAAAATAAATGTCCACAAGTAATTCTGAATCTCCTCATTAAGTTTTTAACACTGGTATTGTTTCAATAGATGCAGTGTTTCCTGCCCCTACACTCAATGAGCGGCTGTTGGCCTCCACCTCTCCGAAGGAGATCTTTCTCAGGTGCATGTGTGTTGTGTGCAGGGCGTCTCTGAGCCCATCTGTGGTTATTCCCTGCTTGTGAGCGCTTACCTGGAACGGACAGCACATGTGTGGGTCCCCACCTGGGGCCTGGGCCGTGAGGGCTGCTGTGAAGCCTCTGTCTGTGCCTGCACCCGGGTGAGGAGTGACTCGAAGCCGCACCAGGTACCTGGGTGACCAGGAGGGACTGGCGCAGCGTCAGCGACCGCAAGGACGGAGGTGAGCGGATTTGGCCACATCGCGTCGTCCTTTCGATCTGGCTTGTTGGGCCGCAGGAGCGGAAAGAGGAGGAGAAGAAACTGAGTCAATGGCAGCAGACGTTCGCACACTCTGCCTCCGGTGCCTCCGGCGGCTGCTGCTGGGCCCACCTGGCTACTTCGCTCAAGTCACTTCAATGGTCACATCCCCTGAGACTCACAGGCACCTACTGTTCCGGCAAATGCCTTCCCAGATGCCTCCCACGTTCGATCAATGATATTTTCTCTCAGCCGGGGAGGCCGGCAGCCCCCTTCATTACCTCACCTCCGGGGCGTGTCACCTCACAGCCCACGTCTCCATGTCGTTTGCTGAGGTCTCCACTGCCTTTTCCGTCACCGGGGTTTCCTTCCCGCCGGTCCATGACGAGGAATGGCTTCCTGCTGCCTGGACCTAGCGGGTGGGAACTGGACTTGATACATTTTTACGGTCAGAAGTTGAGGAAGAAATCAGACTAAGCCCGGCTGGTGTGGCTCAGTGGTTGAGCACGGACCTATGAACAAGGAGGTCACTGTTTGATTCCCAGTCAGGGTACATGCCTGGGTTGCAGGTTTGATCCCTAGTGGGGGGGGGGGCGTGCAGGAGGCAGCCGATCAGTGATTCTCTCTCATCGTTGATGTTTCTCTCTCTCTCTGTCCCTCTCCCCTCCTCTCTGAAATCAATAAAAAATATTTTTATAAAATGGAACAACCATATGATGTAGTAATACTCCTTCTGGGACTATATCTGGAGAAAGTGCAAGACGCCACCTCAGAAAGCTCTGTGTACCCCCATGTGCACTGCAGCCAAGACATGGGAGCAACCTAATGTCCACTCATGGGTGATTGTGTGTGTGTGTGTGTGTGTATTATTGTCATAAAAAGAGGGAAATCCTGCCCTCACCGGTTTGGCTCAGTGGATGGAGCGTCAGCCTATGGACTGAAGGGTCCCAGGTTCGATTCCGGTCAAGGGCATGTACCTTGGTTGTGGGCACATCCCCAGTAGGGGGTGTGCAGGAGGCAGCTGATGGATGTTTCTCTCTCATCGATGTTTCTAACTCTCTATCCCTCTCCCCTCCTCTCTGTAAAAAATCAATAAAATATATTTAAAAAAGAAAAAAAAGGAAATCCTGCCATTTATGACAAGAAGTGGACGGACCTCGAAGGCATTGTAAGTGAAATAAGTCAGGGGCCAGGGAGATACTGTACGATCTCACTTAGATGCGGAATTTAAAAAAAATGATGTTTAAAAACCAAACAGAGAACAGATTGGTGGTTGCCAGAGGTGGGGGGCGGGGGGTTAAAATGGGTGAAGGTAGAAGGTACAAGCTTCCAGTTATGATACAAGCCCTGGGCGGTAACGTGCAGCATGGTGGCGATAGTTAACACCACTGCGTTTTATATCTGAAAGTTAAGAGAGTACATCTCAAAAGTTCTCACCACGCCCTGGCCGATTTGGCTCAGTGGGTCGAGCATTGGCCCGTGGACTGAAGGGTCCCAGTTTCTTCCTCTTTTTTTAAAAAAAATATATTTTATTGATTTTTTACAGAGAGGAAGGGAGAGGGATAGAGAGTTAGAAACATCGATGAGAGAGAAACATCGATCAGCTGCCTCCTGCACACTCCCCACTGGGGATGTGCTTGCAACCAAGGTACATGCCCTTGACCGGAATCGAACCTGGGACCCTTCAGTCCATAGGCCAGTGCTCTATCCACTGAGCCAAACTGGTTCGGGCCCAGTTTCTATTCTGGTCAAGGCACGTACCTGGGTTGCAGCCTCGATTCCTGGCCCTGGTCAAGGCGTGTAAGGGAGGCAACCAATCACTGCGTCTCTCTCACATCGATGTTTCTCTCTCTCGGTGTCTCCCTCTACCTTCCACTTTCTCTAAATAAAATCAATAGGAAAATACCCTTGGGTGAGGATTAGCAACAACAAAAAGTTCTCATCATAAGAAAAAAAACCACACACGTGTGTAACTATTTTTGGTGACGGCTGTTAGCGAAATGTGTGATTGATAATCATATGTAAACATATGCACTCGTATGCTCCCACCTAACACTAACACAATGTTATGTCACTTATATCTCCATTTTTTAAAATATAGGCAGGAGAACTAATTTTCTCCAGCCCAGCGGTCAGGGGATGATGGACCCCACAAGGAAGAGGGCGCCGGGAAGAGCTTCAATTCTAGAAAACACCGTTTACAGGACGTCTGAGGCCCTACCCAGGCGTCCGAGAGCACGCTCAGGATGAGGAACGGAAAGAGCCCTGGCTCAGGAGCTGGACTCACCACCGGACACGGGACCGAGCAGGAGCGAGGCGGCGGGAGGGTGAGACCGAGCCTGAGACTTCTCTGCCGCGGAGACGTCCAGTTGTCACGCCCCCGCGCGCCCAGTGGGGGTCCGATGCAGATCCGAGCGTGGAGCCAGGTTGCTGTCAGCTGGAAAAGCCGCACACCAGTGAAAGCGGTCAGGGCGGATTTTATCGGGCATGTACTACGGCAACCGGGAAAGAGTCCAGTGGGACCTGAGCTCCACGTGGATTTGCTCAGAGGCGACAGAGCCTTTTATTTTTTCCTTTATCGATTAAGGTATTAGATATGTGTCCTTATCCTCCCATTGGCCCCCTCTCCCCCGCCGCCCCTCCCTGCTCATGCCCTCACCCCCCGGGTGTCTGTGTCCATTGGTTAGGCCTATATGCATGCATACAAGTCCTTTGGTTGATCTCTCCCCCTTAACCCCACTCTACCCCTACCTTCCCTCTGAGGTTTGACGGTCTGATCGATGCTTCTCTGTCTCTGGGTCTGCTTTTGTTCATCAGTTTATGTTGTTCATTATATTCCACAAATGAGTGAGATCATGGGATATTTATCTTTCCTCGACTGGCTTATTTCGCTTAGCATAACACTCTCCAGGTCCATCCATGCTGTTGCAAATGGTAAGAATTCCTTCTTTTTTATGGCAGTATAGCATTCCATTGTGTAGATGGACCACAGCTTTCTAATCCACTCATCTGCTGATGGGCACTCAGGCTGTGTCCAAATCTTTGCTAGGGTAAATTGTGCTGCAATGAACATAGGGGTGCATATGTCCTTTCTGATTGGTGTTTCTGGTTCCTTGGGATAGACTAGACCACCAACTTATACCATACACAAAAATAAACTCAAAATGGATAAAGGACTTAAACATAAGATAGGAAAGCACAAAAATATTGGAGGAATCCACAGGCAGCAAAATCTCAGACATATGCCAAAGCAATGTCTTCACCGATACGGCTCCTAGGGCAATGGGAACTAAAGAGAAAAATAAACAAATGGGACGACATCAAAATTAAAAGCTTTTGTAGCCGAAACCGGTTTGGCTCAGTGGATGGAGCGTCGGCCTGCGGACTGAAGGGTCCCAGGTTCGATTCCGGTCAAGGGCATGTGCCTGGGTTGCGGACACATGCCCAGTGGGAGATGTGCAGGAGGCAGCTGATCGATGTTTCTCTCTCATCGATGTTTCTAACTATCTCTCTCCCTTCCTCTCTGTAAAAAATCAATAAAATATATTTTAAAAAAAATTAAAAGCTTTTGTATAGCAACAGAGCCTTTTAAAGGAGAAAATGAGCCCGGCCCAGCATGGCTCAGTGGTTGAGTGTTGACCTATGAACCTGGAGGCCACGGTTCAATTCCTGGTCAGGGCACATGCTCGATCCCCAGTGTGGGGCATGCAGGAGGCAGCCAATCAATGGTTCTCTCTCATCACTGATGTTTCTCTCTCTCTCTCCTTCTCCCTTCCTCTCTGAAATTAATAAAAAATATATTTAAAAAATAAAAGGAGAGAACGAGCCAATAGGGAGGGAGGGGAGTGGGGATTCAGGAGTCTGGGAAGTGAAAAGTTAGGCGGGAAAGAGGGTGGGCCCACATGGAACGTACCTGGGTTTGTGAACCAGGAAACACCGAAGTCAGGCTCATGCCTTCTTCAGAAGGTGCAAACTTCCGGTTATAATACAGGTCCTGGGACTGGGACACCGCATGGTGACTGTGGATAACAACACTGCCTTTTACATCTGCAAGTTGTCAGGCCGATGGACAGGGTCCTACCATCAGGACAGGGTTCTACCATCAGGAGCTGGCGGGGGCCACGGTAACCTGTTTAGGCTGAGTTTTCCCAGGCCAGCACTTCAGGGGGCCCCAGGGTCCACCTAGGGGTGCAGCTTGAGCTCTTAGAAACCGTTAGTGTTCGTCCACATCCTCACAGGCCAGGCGAGGCGTGGATGGACAGGAGGGCTCCATGGAGCCTGGCCGGGGGAATCTCCGTTCTAGAGGCGACAAGCCCAGAATGAGGGGCTGTGGGAAGGGAGGGAAGAAGAGGAAACGAGGAAGCTGAGAACAATTAAGGATTTCACAGAAGCCGGCCATGCCGGGGTGCCAACCATGATGTTAGCTCTGCTATGGGCCGCGTCCCGCCCAACAGCATATGAAGACAACGCCTAGGAAAGCCTTCTGCGGGGACGAGGGGGGTTAACCCGAGGTTTGTGTCGGGAAAGCAAGGAGCCCCTAAGAGGAGAGGCGCACCGCGGGATGCAGTGCCAGTAAGGTGTATTTTTTCCAATCTTTAATTTCTTTATTGATTAAGGTATTACATATGTGACCTCATTCCCCCCATAACCCCCCCCCCACTCATGCCCTCGCCTCCCTGTTGTCTGTGTCCATTGGTCGGGCTTATATGCATGCATGCATACAAGTCCTTTGGTTGATCTCTCCCCTTTACCCCCACCCTCCCCTACTTTCCCTCTGAGGTTTGACAGCCTTGCCCCCCTGTTGTCTGTGTCCATTGGTTGGGCTTATATGCAGTGAGGTTTAAGGTCTTGTAAAGGCCCGCCCCGCGCGGGGCAGGGGCACCTGAGCGCCCCCTGCCTGCCGGCCTCACCTGTCTCGCTGCCATCAGCATCTCCCTTCGGCCCAGGTCTCCTCTCTTCTCTAAGAGGATTCTGGTCTCCAAGTCAGAGCCATCACGTGGCGAATTCTCCTCCAATTTGAACGTCTACCCAAGAGCATTCTTGCCTCTGGCTCAATGCCGGCCCAGACAAATATAGATATATTTTTAGAAATTGCTGTATAAAAGAAAGAAATACTAAAAGAGAGAACATTCACTAACATCTGTAGTTGCTACTGAAGGTGGCATTCTTATTCAAATAACATCGTTATAGACATAGCTTAAAATTCACATATGAATAGATTAAAACTGAATGGACATATTTTTATTGCATGTAATATATTTAAAATAGTTTTTCTCGAGATGTTAATGTTTGTTGCATGTGACTTTATTATATTTAAAATTGTTTTTGAGATATTAATGTTTATTGCATGTAAAAATAAAATAAAATACATATAAAAAAGCTGAATGGAAAGTCCTATATACCAAAATGAAGAAGTTGGGTTTCACATGATGATTTTTTAAAATATATATTTTTTATTGATTTCAGAGAGGAAGGGAGAGGGAGAGAGAGATAGAAACATCAATGATGAGAGAGAACCATGGATCAGCTGCGCACGCCCCCTTACTGGGGATCAAGCCCACACACAACCCAGGCATGTGCCCTGACGAGGAATCGAACGGTGACCTCCTGGTTCACAGGTCAATGCTCAACCACTGAGCCACATGATGTTTTTTGAATATGACTTTGTGAACATGAATTAAATATGTCATTGGCCCGAATTAAGAAGGTGGGACACTCGGCCTTCAGGGTTCCTTTCCTGATGAACCTGGCTGGGGAATCTGTCAGTGACAAGCCTGAAGTTAACGGGTCCAGAAAGGTAAGACGAGGCGAGCACAGCATGCCGTGTCTCTCCCACTGAATGGAGCGACAAGAGGTGGAAGACTCTGAAAGTAACTATTCAATCCCTGGCCCTGAAAAAAAACCTCCAGGTTTGGCAGAATATATCTCTCAGGCCATAAATCAACAGGAGAAAGAGGAAGAACACTGGATTGTGAAGAACTACTGACAGTGCCCGGCCGGTGTGGCTCAGTGGTTGAGTGTCAACTTATGAACCAGGAGGTCACAATTCAATTCCTGGTCAGGGCACATGCCCGGGTAGGGGGCTCGATCCCCAGTGTGTAGTGTGCAGGAGGCAGCTGGTCAATGATTCTCTCTCATCACTGATGCTTCTGTTTCTCTCTC